TTCAAAAGAGAAGTCAAAGAATACTTAGGGTTGAGCCAAAAGTAGCTTGTTAAAAGAATACTTGTATCTTTGTTTAAAGTTAGTGAAACTCAATTTGATTGGATTAAGAACTAGATGTAGTCTAGTGGTTGAGGTGAACTAATATAAAAATATTCAATGTTCCATCTGACTGCTCTTCTTGCTTTATCTGACTACCATTACTACTTCATTACAAAAAAAAAGTGTAAATTTTTTATATACACTATTCATCCCTCTTTCTAGTATTTGTCTTTTCTCCACACTAACCTTCATCGCTAACCCTTCAATTCATTTCTCAACCGTCGCATAAGCAATAACAACGATGAGCCAGGTGAGGGCCTCGCCATCAAAGCTCATAGCGGTGTTGATGGACTTGGAGTAAGGCCTTAGATATGCAATTCACAATGATATAGGTCTAGGTTGCAAAGGCCCATGTTAGCATTGATGGCGACAACCAAAAAGCTTGTGTCTCATCATTCCTTCCTTGTCTAAGGTGATAAAAGCCACATTAGGGATAGGGCTTCAGAGCTTCCACTTGCGGTTCCTTGTCCTTTTTAGAGGGTTTCAATGTTATGGAGGGTGTTAGGGTTTTGGAGCTACAACTTGCCCTTTTATCTTTTCCTTCAACTTGGCCCTCAAGGGTGTTAGAATATTTTGAATCTTTGATTTATGAGGGACTCAAATATTTTGATTGGCAAAGGGTCTTTGAAAGCACCTATTAAATTGGTTGCTACCTGACCAATTTAATAAACTACATATTAAATGGTTAAATGCTTAACCAATTTATTATGTAGTATATTAAATTAGATAGATAACAAATTTAAAAATTAATGATCATATTTTCAAAAATGACATCCTGTCATCTATTAAATTCGTTGCCTTAATTAAATTGGTTGCAGGACAATCGATTTAATAGCTTGACATCGTAGACTATTTTTGTACTAATATTTAGACACTTTCTACATTTTATAAACTTTACTTTTTTATCAAACACATTCTTTCTCTACCTTTTTATGGATACTTTTGTAATATTCTCCTATCTCCTTACTCCTAACATTTGTCTCCAAATTACTAAGGGGTAGGTACGTACCTGCAAAAGGAGCTCTAACACTCAAGATACCACTCGATGTAATAAATGCAAGTATTCATTGACGATGTTTATCACCTCAATATGTGCCATTATTTATACTAGCCATATTAGGCTTCACTAGTGCAAAAATGACATTTTATGTCAAGTGTAATCCACATGACATAGAAAGTAATGTAGTGACAAAATTATAAATATGATAAAACATTTTATGTTAAGTGTTGTTTCACCCGTCATAGAAAATTCTTTCTATATCTAGTGTCATTACACCCGACATAGAATGTGTTGGGAAGGGTTAACTTTGTAGTTGACCCTAGCCTTTCTAATAATATGATGGGTGTAATGAAACTCAACATAAAAAGAAATTTCTATGACAAATGAAACAACACTTGACATAAAAAGTACTTTAAAATTTTAAATTGAAAATGCAATTCATGTTTTGGACTCTTGTTTTTGGTTTTGTTTTGTTTTCTTTTTCGTTCTCCTTCTCGCACATTTAGATAAATTATTTTATTTTATTTACTTATTTTTTATGTTTTTTTGTTGTTGTTATTATTCAAATATTGATGGTGTAGTGGGTTGGAAGTATATAAACTTGGTGATGTTGTAACATAAAATATAGTGGTTATAAAAGAAGATGCAAGAACGATAGGGAAAAAGGAAAACATGAAGGGATGCAATGAGAGAGAAAGAGTATGACAGTGAAACGTGAAGAGATGCAATGAGAGAGAAGAGCGTGATGGCAAAACATGAAGAAATGCAATAAGAAATAAATAGCATGACGACAAATTAAATGCGAAAAGATGTGAAAATGAGAAGGAAAAAGTAGCACAACAAAAAAATACGAAGAGATGTAATGAAAGAAAAAAAAAATGCAATGGGGAAACACTTATTAACCTAAAACATAAGAATTTTTATGTCGGTTATTTTTATGATCGATATAGAAAGTTAAGACATTTTATGTCAGTTATTTTTATAATCGACATTAAAAGACAAAACTTGTTATGTCATTGAGATTTATGACGGGTTTAAAATCGACATAAAAAGTCGATTTTATTTGTCATAAATAATGTCACACACATAGTACTTTAAAGTCAATGGACTTTGGTCTTCAATTATCAATTAGATAATATGGTCTTAATTAAGGATTAACCTTTTACCTTTACTTGTTCGTAATGTAATCAATGTCATTGAGCCATATTAATTTGACACATTCGGCTAACACTATGCCAATGAGGTTAAGGTGACAGTGTGTCAAGTGATGGTATAAAAGGCTACTAATGGGGCTTAAGTTGTCGACACATTCGACTAACACTATGCCAATAAGGTTAAGGTGACCAATGTGTCGAGTGGTATAAAAGGCTACTAATGGGGCTTAAGTTGTCGAAAGGGTGTTAAAGGTTGCTCATGAGGCTTAGCTTGCTAAAGATACTGAGGGGGGTGTAAAATGTTACTCATGATGCTTAGGTGGCCGAGGGTACCAAGGGATACAAAATGTTACCCGTGAGGCTTAGGTTGTCAAGGTGTTGGAGGATGTAAAAATTTACTCATAAAGCTTAGGTTGTCAAGGCTAACGAGGGATGTAAAAGATTACTCATGAGGCTTAGGCTGTCAAGGGTGTCAAGAGGTGTAAAAAGTTACGGATGAAGCTTAAGTGGTCGCATTACTGAGGGGTTTTCATCGACTATACCCTTGGATGATTGCATGCTAGCTTCATATCATTGAGTGGGCTTGGAGCAGTGAGGGTGCCAAGCACATTGCCAACCACTAGAGATGGAAAAAATACCCCTACTTACGAGTATCTGTGGGTAAAATCTACTACGAATAATAAATGTGTAAGCTAATTGGGTACCCGCAGATAATGGGGACAGGTAATTTTTTATCCCGCGGGTACACGTTTAATAACATTTCTTAAATACTCTAATTATTCTTGTATCACATAACTTTAAAACTACACTCTCATCTTATTTTCTTTCGATAAACGCACAACCCACGCATTAGTCATCACACTTTCAAAGTTTCCACCATAGATTTTCACAACACGCAAGGTTTCATGGCGTCATTCCTCACGTATCGGCACCGCACAATTTCACTTGTCGTGGTCTACATAACTTCAGGTTCATTTTTTCTTTAATTTTTTCTTCTCACGCTCTATTTTCATTCTTGATGTTGTGTAGTTTTTGTTTTCTTCTTCTCATGCGTTTTCTTTCTTCTTCTCACGTAGATCCAAAAAGGCAAGTTAATCAATCAGATTGAAAGTGAGTTTGGCTTTCGCACATTCAATTTTAAATCCCATTACTTAATCGGTTACTGTTTTCCTACCTTTGGATTTCTATTTAATAACATTTAAATTAGGTTGGTTAATATTGAATTGATTTATTGCTATTTCTTTTTTAATGTCAATACCTGTACCTATTCAATTGATTTATCATTATTTCTTATAAATATCCATGGATATTCATGGATACCCGCGAGTACTCAAGAAATTTATGAATACCCGCGTAAATATGGGACAGGTATGGGGCAAATTTTCATCCAACGGGGTGGGGATGGATTTACTATTACTTGCCCCCATGGGGCCTAAATGTCGTCCCTATCAACCACTATCATTGACCAATTCATGATTTCCTAACCTTTTTGTCCCGTCTTTGACTTGCTTGGATATTCATCTAGCACACTTTCATTTAATTTGATTAATTTTAAGTTACGTTTTTTAATTGTGTATTTTTATCTAGAAAATAAGTATCTCAATTTAAAGAAATAATGTATATATTATTATTTTTAGGCTTAAAGATATTTTAAATATCTATAAAATGAACAAGTTTTTATTTAATTTGGTCCTTGTAATTTAATTTAATTTTTTTATTTTTATAAAATTTAAAACTATTATTTTTAGTTTCTTTTATTATGTGATCATTTTCACAATTTATGTCTTTATTAGAGAATTGTCATTGTAGGTTGACACAAATGGTTCAAGATCCGGTTCGAGCTTGCATTCTCTATTACACGAGTTCAAAATCTTCTACGATCATTAAAATCTTACTTTGATAAACATACACACTCAAGGATATTTCAAGCAGTAGAGGTGAATTCCTTTTGGTTGGTCTTTGTTGACTCTCAATTTGACAAGTAAAATCTTGAGTCAAATTAAACATTATTGAGTTTCAGCTAATCATTTCATGAATAATAGTGTTTGGTCTGAAAATTCTCAACATGTTATTAACCCTCTATTAAGTAGTCATGGGGTAAAATTCCATACCTACCATTTTATGGATAAAAAAATGTGTTTATTTGAAGATTTAGTGGTCATCCCAAATTATACTTATAACTATTTATGATATCATGTGACTTCTTGATTTTTTAATAAACCCTAAATTAAATGTTATTTATTTATCTTAATTATTGTTAGGAACTTAAAATAAAGACTTTAGATTTTAGAAGAATGAAAATAAAAATAAAAGTTAAAATATTATTTTAGTCCTTATAGTTTCACTTACTTTACCTTTTATTCCTTAAAGTTAAAATAGACATTTTTAGTCTTTATACTTAAATTTTTCGATCTTTTTTAGTCCCTATATTTTTTAGACAAATCTTTTAAATCCTTATATTTATAGTTTTTTAATCATTTTAGTCCTTGTCATTAACTTTTTTTAACATTGTCTATTTTTTATTGATGTGATAAATATATTAATTCATTTCTCGATGTTTCATGTCTTTTTTATACCTTCACTTATGTTATATATTGTGAACACACTTTTTTTTTAATTCTTACAAAATTAAAAACCTTATACCACATCAACACAAAAAAGACAAAATTAAAAAAAAAGACCATAATATTATTAACATTAAAAAAATAAAAATATTTGCTATAAAGGCAAAAATCAAAACACAGAAATTAGAAGAAAAAAAACATATTTAAACTTATTTTTTTAAATTAAGCGTTGTTATTGGCATTAAAACACAAACACAACGCAGATATGGACCAACTGGAACATATAAAACCACGTGTGAGTTGAAAGACACACACATTATTCATCCTTATTAATGAAAGCGAAACTGCAAAGCACTTAAGTGCAAGCGGGAAGAGGAGAGCCACACAAGCACTTGTTATGAGCGTAGGAAGACGCATCAAATCTTTGCAGCTTGCCACCCTGTGGAATCTCACCGCAGAGAGCATTGTAGCTCACATTAAATGTCTTCAGATACTTAAGCGCCGTGAGCCCATTAGGCAGCGTCCCATAGATAAGGTTGTTCCGAACATCCAACCCGTTCAAGTTCCCCGACAACCCCACCTTCCCCAAATCAAAAGCAAACAAATTCTTCGCCAGAATTATCTTCTGCGTGTTCTTACTCGACCCAAACAACACCGACGCGTCACCCTCCAGCGTGTTCCCAGACAAGTCCACGAACGCCAGGTTCAGCTTCGCCAGCGTCGCCGGAATCTTCCCGCTGAGGCGGTTGCGGGAGAGCGTCATCGACGTGAACAGACTCGAGAACGAGCCGTACGAGTCGGGGATGGCGCCGGAGATCTGGTTGCCGTCGAAGGTGATTCCGACGAGATTGGGCAGCGAAGAGAGGGAGGCAGGGAGGGAACCGGTGAGGGCGTTGTAGGAGAAGTCGAGGGTGACGAGGGTTTTGATTTGTGAAAAGAAATCGGGTATCTGGCCGGAGATGTTGGTCTGGGAAATATAGAGATAACGGAGTTTGGTGAGATTGGCGATGGCCGGAGGAATTGCGCCGACGATGTTGGGGTTGCTGCGAATGGTAAGGAAATTCAAGTAGGGAAGGTTTCCAATGGAGGAGGGAATAGAGTAGGGTTTGGGGAGGTTAAGGTTGGAGAGATCAAGGTCGTTGACGCGGTATGTTTGAGTGTCGGTGTCGCATGAGACACCTTGCCATGTTTTGTTGCAGCAATCGGTGGTTGGAAGCCAAGAGGAGAGCGTGGTTGGGTTTCCAAGCTCTTTCTTGATTTGGAGTAAGGCTTCCTTGTCTTGTGGGTTGCATAGTTCGGAGAATGCTGCTCCGGCGAAGGATAGAACTACTACCAGTACGAGGATGCTTAAGAGTGACATCGTGTTTCTGATATTTTGATTCGATGTTGTGTTTTTGAAATGGGGTTTGGATTTGGATATATATTGCCATCCCTATACGTCTCCATCGAGTGGTTTTTCGTGACAGCTCATTTCCTTTGCCGACAAAAAACATAGGTAAACAAGCATAAATATTGCTCGTATTGTTGCTTCCCGGTAACAATCGGAGTTCTACCACTAATATGTAATTACTTTTAATGCAGACATTATGGTTTAGTTATAACTCTAATTCTGATATACTCTCAAGTTGTTGTTTTCTTTTTGCTGCTATACTTGACTATGTAATAATTTGCTCAGAAAAGTCACGCTTGTACGCGTCACTGGGTTCAATTGGTCAAAACTTAGGGATACGTAGGTTCCATTCCAATACAAAAGTGTATTTCAGTTTTGACCGGAAGCACCTCATCCATATTTGACGAAAACAAAACACTTTCGTGTTCATCATTACTTCTGTTTAGATAATCTATGGATAAAGTGTCGGCATTAAAATTCTGATATTACTTAACTAAAGCCACACAAAAATAGATTTGAATTAGTATACCTAGCTAATTTTATATAAATAGATTTAATACATCGTGATTTCTTTTTAAAAAAAATTCAATTAAATAAGTAAATTAAAAATTGTAATTAAATCTTTCATTTTTATATTTTTATAATTTAGTTTTTGAAGCTAAAATTTATTTACAATTAGTAAAATTTTACAAAATATTCTTTATATCATGTCAAGGCGTATAATTTATTAATCTGTACTTGTTAAAAGTTTTTACTATTGCAAAATCTTTGTTTAATATTATACATTTATCTGTCTGATTACGTAAATAATCCCACCATGCTAATTATTTTTTTCTTAAGTTTAATGTGTTTCCTTTTTATTGAATTATGTAATTTTTTTTTACTATTTTTGTACTCTTTTTAATGAAATAGTTGGAATTTATAATGAATTTTAAAACAATTTAAAAGGTTCGTGAGCTAAAAAAAATTTGATGTAATTGAGTTTCAAAAGAAAAAAAAAAGATTTTTCTGAATTTTTATTTATGAAACACAATCGTTCGGTTTGATTATAAAAAGATTCAAAATACTTTAATTGATTCACTTCATAGAGATCTTCAATTAATTGATATTTCCTTTTGAAAATTTTAGACAAATAAATTTTGACATGACATGATTGCAACAATAAAAAAATTCAAATGATTATAAGCTTGAACTAAACAATTAGCAATTGAACCACTATGTTAGTCTAATAAGTCTAATAGTTAAGTAAAAAGAAATTGAAGTAGTTAGAAGTACGAAGACTTAGATTCGATCTTCATTACGATCATCTTTGTAATCTTTCTTATTTTTAAAAAAAAATAATTAGAAACTAAAATTATACATAGACCACTGTAGAAGGAATAAAAAACAATTAAGACTTTAATTAAAAAAAATAAATGGGTTTGGTCAGACCATCCTTGGCCAATTGCCAGTGTTGTAATAAAATAATGAGCATCTAAGTTAGGTGAGGCATGTAGGCTTTGGACCTCGGTCTATTTACTAATTGGGCCTGGTGGACTCTATTCATTCAAGATCAAGAGCTAAAACGATTGCAGGCTGGATTTCAAAGGGTGGTGGGGATATTAGGTCTTACTATACTCTGGTGTGCATGTTTATTTGCTAAACATTATTGGAAGTAACTATTTGAAAAAAATGTAGTACGTGTAGCAATCTACAAGCAGCATAAAATGTTATTCATCTACTTATTTAGTCTAAAAAGGTAAAAGAGCACAGTCACCCAACAAAAATTTAGGTATAGGCTCTTCAAAACATTTGTGGAATTTGGTGATCAACAGGATTCATAAAATAGTGAGTTCAGACAAAATTACAATCTGTAGCTTCTCTCTCTTATTTTCACCTCAAAATGGGATGGATTCATATCATATATCTGTAATGAAAAAAAAATGGTACAATAAGCATTTTATATAGACTCTTAGCTGTTACAAAATATTTCGCCTCGTAATATATTCCTTTCTAGGAAAAGTAGTTGAGCCCGGGAGAAAAGAGAGATTTTGAACTTCTTAATATTTATTTTAAAAAATTAAATAAAATAAAAGATAATAGAGTGCATGATTATTAAAGGAGAATTGTAGTTATTAATTTATTTTTATTTTTAATTCCTTTTTTTAAAATAACTAAAGAATAAAATGGTCCAACAAATATGGGAACCAAATACGGTTATTTAAGAAACTATCCCCTATATCATAATTAGTGGAATAGAGACACTCTATACTTGTTTAAAAATAATAAAATAAATAAATAAAATAATATATGTTAAAAAATGTAAATGAGATAATACATTATTAAAAAAAGAGTAAAATAATGTTAAACAAAATCGAAGATTGTGGTTATAAAATAAGAGGGTAATTATTATTGATATAATGAATAATTAATTTTTCTTACATATTTTTTTCTTCTATTTTACCTTTAAGAGATATGATGCTGAGAATAAAAAAATTAATATATAAAATATAATGAAGGAGTATAAATGCATAAATAATGTGAAAATTAAATAGAGATATCCCCTTTATATACAATAATATACAACATAAGATTAGTGTGATCGTACCTCTATGCATCTTGTTTAAAAATAATATAAAATAAAATAATAAAATTTGTAACATATTGATCAAGTGAGATAATGTATAATTAGAAAAAAGTAAAATAATTTTAAACAAAAATGAAGATCAAATAAGGTGGTTACAAAGTAAGTGGGTAGTTATTATTGATAGAGTAAATAATTAATTTTTTGTATATATTTATTTTTCTTTCTATTTTACCCTTAAAGGATATATTAGTAAAAAATAGATTAAAATATTATAAAAAAGTATAAATGCCTTAAATAAAGTGAAGACCAAAAGGGGATATCCTTTATATAATATATAGATTAGGAGAACTAATAAATATTTTTAAAAATTAAAATAAAATAAAAGATAATGTAGTGGATTTTTTTTAAAAAATGGTAGTTACTAACAGAATCTTGATTTTTTAATTTTCTTTTTCTTAGTAACCGAAACATATAATGATCCAATAAATGTAGAGACCAAGAAATTGTTACTAAAGGGGTATATTTTTTAGGTTCGTTCCTGGAGTATCCACCGCCGACAGCAGTGACTAATCTCCTCGCTACGTTGGAGGCACCTCAAAGGGTGGGATAGCTGGCCCCAAGATTTTAACGCGGCTGCATACACAAGGCAGGATTCGAACCCCTGACCTTGCTTAAGCGTGGATCAACCCCTACCGCTGAACCACACGCTTGGGGTTTACTAAAGGGGTATATAATCCTACAAAATTTATTTATAGAGTGAGAGTTGTCTCCCACTTATAAAGTATTTATTTTCTCTATCTTTATAGTTCTTATCGGGTACATGTAAGTAAAGATAAAAAATAAAATAAAATAGACAAGATAAACTTCCTAACTTCTAACAAAGCTAGTTCCTATGGCATCCGCTATAATAAGCTTCCGAAGGTTAGGAGAAGGACTTTCCAAATTAACAAAGCCTATGAGTTCATAGTATCCAAGCTTTGAAAGGAAATCAACACATTGATTCCCTTTATGCAATCACTCTTGATTCAATATGTTCTTAATCCTTGTCATGATACTTGCATATTGGTGCCACGAGTCCACCTCTTTTTTCATGAGAAAGATAGCATAAGTAGAGTTTGAAATACAAATAACAAATAAAACCTCTGTCTTAGGTGCATATATTTCAGCTCATGGTGAATAGCCACTAGCTCAACCTCTAAATCATTAGTTAAGCTAATGTGTCCATAGAAACTAGAGATCCATCTTCCATCACTATCCCATATGAGTCCTTTGAACCCTTCCTTCCCTGAATTCCCTAGAGCACTCCCATCTACATGAATAGAGATGTGATCCTTTGGTGCCAACATATAACAAACCCATCGTTCTGCTTGCTTGGTATGTTGAGGGATATCGTACAAATGAAAAGCTTGTTTTATTGCTTTTGTGAGGTGTCTAATCTGCTCCACTATTGTGTCCAATCTATTCCTTTTTAGGAAGGACTCAACTGCTCCAAATTTATTTCCTTCAAATTTGCTTGGTATCCTTACACTCAAATAGGATGTGAAGGAGGTTAGAAAGTATGATCCCCTATGATCAAACATGTTAGATACATTTTGTCTAGGATATTTGGCCTTTATTACTTGCACCTAGAGTTTGCTTTCTTTTGAAGTAAACTTTAAACCATTTTCTCAACAATGTGAAATTTTGATGGCATGCCACTCAAACAACCAAAAGACCCATTTTGTGGCTTGTGGTTATAACATCATTTTTCACAAGATGAAGATGGTTCCCTATGCTTCCACTCCATATGAATCATCCACTAATGTTATCAATCATGTCACACACCACTTGAGGGGACTATTAAAACTATAGGTTGTAAGTTGGTATGGAAGAAAGAACACAATTCACCAATGCCACCATTTTGGGTTTATTCAATGTTCTTCCTTTCTATGAAGTCAATCTGCTCCCTATTTTTTCTAAATCATCATCCAAGTGGTGATAGGTTACACGACCATATGTCATCTAAAAGCCAAGGTACTTCTTCAAGTCATTGGTGAATACAATATTAGTGATTCCATTAATCTTTTGTTTTCTTGGACACATGACACCCTTGGAAGCGAATGCTTTTGATTTTTTTATATTTATTTTTAGCTCTGACACCTAGCAACCATTTGAGGATATTGTAAACCATGTACACTTGGGATGGTTTTCCTTTTGTAAAAAGCAATACATCATCCTCAAAGAACAAGTGTGATATTGTGGGACTATTGCTAGAAATTTTGAAGGGTTCACAAGCTCTACTATCCATAGCTAATTTAATCATACATCCTAGCTCCTATATGCTAAGGACAAAGAGGTTGGGAGACAATGGGTCTCCTTGTCTTAACTAGTTTCCATTCCATAAAATGGATACAGATGTAGATAAAATTCCTAACATGATAAGACTCACAATGTTACTAGAAAAATCATATTCATTGAGAACCTGGTGAACAAAGGTCCATTCGACGCTATCATGTGCTTTTTTCCAAGTCTAGCTTGAATATAAGGCCTGATTTTTTCCTCTTCGATCTTTTCATACTATGAATAATTTCTTGGAGTAGGATGGAATTTTCGGTGGTACCCCTTCCAAGGATGAAACTACTTTAGAGAGGACTCACTATCTTTTATAATACTGGCCTCAATTGATTCATTATAACTTTCAATACAAGCTTGAAGAGTATGTTAGAAAGGCTGATCAATCTAAACTCATTCAGAATTTTTGGGTTATCTCCTTTCAGGATAAGGATAATTAATAATTCCAAAGGCTTTATAGCTCTTCATTCCCATTAGAGCATTATGGACTTCTTCCTTTGTGACGGATTTCATTAATTATTGATAATCTTCTTCTTGTTGTATATTTGTTAAATTTTTTGGGATGATAGCATTGATGTTTTATTCTAATTATACCCCAAATAGTTCTCTATAAAACATAGTGGCTACTTCCTATAGCTCTTTTTCATCTTCACACCAAGTACCCGAAGGAAGAAAGAGACCTTGAATTTTGTTTTTCTTCCAATTAATAATGGCTTGGGTGTGGAAGAAGTAGTGTTCTTACTTCCTAATCTAATCCAGTTTTACCTTAATTTCTGGAACCAATGTGGTTCATCTTAAAATAGAATAATCATACTCATGGAGAAGCTCTTGATAGAATCGAGTGTGGTGGGATGAATAAACAAACTCTAGAACCTTCTCAATACCTTTAAGTTGAGCCTCAATATGTTGTTTATTTCTTCTAATACTACCAAAAGACTCCTTATTAAAAACAAGAGACGTATTTTTAACAAGCTCTAGGGATTGAATCACATTACCCTTGTAGTTCCAAGCTCTGTTAACCAGATGGTGGTGATCGCCATGAGTGCACCATGCTACTTCAAACCGAAATGGTTTTCCCTCTTTTATATGAGGTGGCTTGCCACAATATAGAATTAAAGAACTATGGTCAAAGTGTTTCCTAGGGAGGACCTTAACTAGTGCCTTTGGAACTTAATTCACTCTCTAGTCCAGGTTGTAGAGCCCATGATCCAATTGTTTGTGAATGCTTTCACACCCATGCTAATGACGATGCCATGTGAAATTCCCATTAATCTAATTGAGAGTGATGAGGTCATTATCAGAAAGATGTTTAGAAAAGATTTCAGCCTTTTTGTGATGAAAAATACTCCTTTGTTGAGCGGAAGAGAGTAATGTGTAGTTACAATCACCAAGTAGGGCCCAAGGGCAGCTATGATTATTTTGAATAATGGTTAGATGATTCCACATTTTCTATCTCTCCAAAGGAAATGGACTACCATAAACCCTGGTGTAAGCCTATTCATGTTTGTTAAGTGATATGTTGATCAAGATAGCTTGAGGATGTGAATCAATGGTTCTAAACGAGAAAGGAGACCCTATTTCTTAAGGCCCAAATCCCTCTAGCTTGACCCCTAACCTCTTGAACCTCCAAACCATCAAAACCCAATTTGTTAAAGAAGTTTTGGACAAGTGAAAACTAAGTGTGAACTTCAAAAAGAAATACGAGATTAGGCCAACAAGTTTGAATAATTTCCTTAATAAGTGTCTGGTTGCACTACAAGAAAAATGCAAATTACCGACGGATACAAATCTGTTAAAAAATTTATATTTCCGATGGATTTTACCGACAGTTTATTGTAAAATCGACTTAGATGATAAGTGATCTACGACGGTTTATTGTAAAACTGACTTAGATGATAACTGATCTATGACGATTTTTGTGTAAAATCGACTTAGATGGAGACCCAAAATTATCACGCACACGTTTTCTCTCATTTCATGCGTGCCCTTCAATCTCCCACCCTCAACCTCGTCGTCTCTCTTAGTTCTCCCTCAATTGCTCTCAACGTCTCAACCTCATCATCTCTCTCAGTTGCGCTCTCAACGTCTAACCTCGTCATCTCTCTCAACAACCTCTCAATGACAGCCTTGTGAGAACTCTCAACCTCTCGCACACAACCTCTCACTGAAGCGACAGTGGCTACAGGTGTTCCGAACACAACGGGGTCAAAGAAACAAGTGATGCCAAAGGTGTTTCCTTTTGCAGTCGTGAGGGAACGAAAAGGTACTTCATTCATGGCTCGTTTGGAGATAGATTGGGCATTAAGGTTTATATATTCATGGCTTGTTTTTTTTATAGGAGCACAATATTGCGTGAAAAATTTGAAGAGCTTTGTGAAGACATTTGGGAAAAATTGTTTTCATGTGTGAAAGAGGTGGTTGAGCTAGCATTCTGGATTGTCATTCACATGTGTATATCTAAGACGATTTTCATAAAACTGACTTAGATGAACACATACATCTAAGTCAATTTTTGCGTAACTGACGTAGATATATTCATTCATCTAAGTCGCCTTCCTCTAAGTCGGCTTTAGAACCGATGTAGAAATAGAATAATAACCAACTTAGAATACAATCCTTCTAGTAGTGATAATGATATAATAAATATAAAGATCAAAGGTGATCATTAAAGAGAGTATCTCCTTTATATGTATTAGTATAAATTTATAGATTAATATATACAAATGATAGAGGATTTATAATTGCAAAGCTACATTGACAAAATGATAGAGGAATTATAATCGTAAAGCTACATTGACAAGTTGACGAGCATGCACATGCAAAATGGTTAAAAGCCAACCTCGTTTTGCTGGATTTGTTATGCTGTCAAAAACTACTGCAGACTTATAAGACACAATAGAATCATCTTTGTTAAAAGAAATAGCATTAAACTGTAAAACTAATAATCATAAAAAAAAATTAAAAAAAAACACACACACACAAGTCAGTGGATGGCAAGAGAAACAGAAAACTGAGGAACCAAACCTTGCATGTCATATTAGGAGTCAAGTTTTATGTCGTATTATAATAGATATACTTTGTCTGAAAGTGACCTATCACTAGTGGAAAATTAGTATATTACGTCACCTCTTTAATGTCGGACACACTAAAATCCGACGTAAAAAAGACACGGTGGTATTTTTGTAATTTTTGCGAACTTTTTTACGTCGGACCTGGTAGGATCCGACTTAAAAAAAAGGACGCGAAATTGAATAAGAGAGTGCGAGGCACACCGCGCGCATTCACTCTTCATCACTTTTCATTTTTTTCCTCTGTAAACCTTCTCCCTCTCCTTTGTTACTGAATCATTTTTTTGTCTTCTACAGAGTGGGGTGAACTCTTTGTTACTCATTCGCATAGTGTTGCAGCTCATCAGGTATGAATCAGGGTTTCGTTAACACCTTTTTGCTTCGCATTACTAATGTGGCTATCTATTTTATTCAATTTTTTGGTTGTTTTATTTGTATGGGTTGTTGGCCTTTTCTTTTGAGTTGTTCTATGAAGCAGAACGGGTCGTTCTGCACTCGTTATATTTTTATTTATTTATTTTTTCACTACTTTTTTACGTCGGACCTTGGTAATGTCCGACATAAATTTATGTCAGTTTTACAAAGTCGACGTAGATTTACGTCTCCCACATTAACGTCAATATTTTTTCTGACATAAAAAACTCAAAATAACCGACGTAAAATACCTCTTTTGTATTAGTATATATGGACACTAGTGCTCATATATATCTAAAGTGTGAGAAAGAATATAATAAATTTATCATTGCTATACTTTATTTTACCCTATTATCTTTTTTATATAACACAAATTTATATTTTCATCCGGCCGGGAGGGAAATCTGATAAAATCTCCGAGCCCATTTTAATTTCTCTTGTCACTTCAAGAATAACCCACATGGGGGGTGGGGGGCTAAAATGATTTTTCCCACTATACGATGAAAGGAGTAGCCTCTCATACTTTAATCATTGATCTACTCGGTGAGCTTTTGAATCAATAAAGTCTATAGAAATTGTTTTAACTGTTAATATCTTCTGTTCCTCAGCTTTCTGTCCCATCCACCAATTCCAAAAGGAACGTGTGACTCGTTGTGTGTGCTTCCAATCAAGCAGCACTCCCACACATAGAATCCCATTTTTTTTCCCACTAATTTACCTCCCTGACTGTAATGCTAAATGACAGGTAAAAAGAAAGAAAAAGAAGAAACTAGAACACAAGAAAAGTGGGTTTATGATCTCGAATCTCCCCCACGTGACATACTTGAAATCCGATGATGAGTTGCACCTATTAAAAGATTATTGTGAGGGAGGTGGTGCTTCTCACTCAAGGTCTTATATATTATATATACGATCTTCTCTTATATTCTTCAAACGCGGTGGTAGTTGGTGTTGTTATCACCACTCAGTCAAAGAAATGGAATGAATCTAAAACGTTGGATTCCCTTTGCTGATCATCAAAACCTTGTGGAGACAATAGGTTTAGTGAGTGAGCTTCTACTTTTTCCAATTCTGCAAATAAGTCCTGATCAGGTTGTTGTTGGTTATTCACATTAGATATTGGCTCGTAAGGGACTCCAATATCACTAAATTCTTCATCATCCATCTCAAGTTGCTTCTCTTCCTTTACAGAACCACTGTTGTTTACATTATTGCTGTCACTGTTGCTCTCTTCCTCATCTGAATTCTTTGAAGCAGCAATGTTGTTGTTCTTGGAAGGTTGTGATCGAGATGAACCAGCGAAAGCATTTCTCTGAGTTGGCCATGGATGGTTGTGCTCTGAGGTGTAAGTAATGACCAACATGTTTGGGTCAGTTCTACTCCTCTCAACTTGTTTTCTTGCAGGGCAACCCTTTGAGCTGCTGCATCTATAGTAACCCCTACATGAGGTAACAAGAGAGAGAGACAAACATAAGAATCCATAAATGACATTGAGAAAGACCAAGAATTCCATCACCTGCACCAATGACATAAGGTTACGTACCATAAATATAAATTGCTTGACGTGAGTACAGTAAATTTCTTCCAATATAAAAATTTGCCAAAAAGAGCTTTTGGGAAGGGATAACTTTACCTAGTTGTTCTTAAACCTCAAACTGTGACAAAGCACTGGGTAAGAAATAATGAAAAAAACACCAGTACACCACAAGGGATCATATCATACAACTAGTGCTCTTTTTCTTGTTTCCTTCATTGCCATCCAATAAAAATATGATACCTTATTGGAGTGATGAGTGATCCCAGTGATTTGATAGGGATATAGTGTTGGAGTGATAAACAAAATGTGGATTCGAATTCCTCATTAACAATTAACAATTAATATTTATTTATAAAAAAAATATACGTAACTTAAAATAAACTAATTTTCGTTGAGATGTCATTTTTCATTTGGAGGAAAAGGAAATGAATACTCAAAAGAAACATAATTTAGATATACAAAATAACAATATTTGATTGTGGAGTTGCCCATATAATTTTATTAAATGATTTTGCTAATGTTATAAAAAATTAATTAAAATGTACTGACATTTTTATGTTATAATTTAATCTTAGACTGATATATACGGGGAAAAATGTTGATTTTACAAAATTAATACTAATTCATATCAAAAAGTAAATAAACGTGTTAAGTGAACAAAATAATATATATATATATATTATTTTAATAGTTTAATTAAGTGAATTTAAGTTTACCAAATAGTTTAATTTAGATGTAGACACAAATATTATTTTTCTCATTAATTTTACATAGGACAGAACTTAATAGGTATGGTACTTTTGTCACTTTACGTGCTTTCTTGCTTTAAAGAAGTTAGGAAAAATCTTCATTAAAATACCTTATCTTTCCGAGAAAGATCACACTATACCAACTTACCTTGGATACGGAGAACCTTTAATGGGTTTCTGGCCATATTTTCTCCAAGCCCACAGATCAGAAGGAACTACCTCGCCACTTTGTCTGCTATTTGGTGTAGCTGCAGGTGCAGGAACACAAATCGACTTCTTTGCCTGGATCTTCCTGCAATTACACAACAATATCATAACTTACATAGCTCCACGCATTCCATGAAGTTACATAGTTCCTATACACTTTTTTTTATGACGTATCTTTTTCTCTATATCTTTTTAAGACATTAGTATATTTTATACTGTACTTCTCTCTTCTTAAATATAGAAACAGTTGTAAAAATGAGTTATAAAAATAGAATATATTATATGCACATATATATGTGATGATTAAAGAGATATTAATATATAACTCCCACTAAACCAAGTGTTTAATTTCTGATTTGGTGTTAATTCTTCCACTGAAATAGTGGAAATATTGTGGCCAAGAAAAGGGTTATGGTTTTCATCTTATGATCAAAGGAACAGGACATTTCAGGTGTGTTCGGAAGAAAAGTAGTTTACGATAAGCTTTCTTGAAAGCTCAGTATGTGACTGTTATGGTGACACCTAGCTATAGCTAGCTCTACTTTTCAGGTGGATTAACCCTATAAAGGACCATGTTTAGTCTTGATCACAATGAACTGTTTTCAACTTGAAACTAATTATAACCCTCTTAGTTCTTATGACCAGATGCAGTCAATCAAACATATTTGCAAAATAAGACAAAAGAATTACCTCACTCATGCCAAACCCTACTTTATCCCCATCACCGCGGTTTTATACAAAAAATTGTAGTTCCCAAAAATGACTCTGAATGTGATTAATTACATTTGGAAAATTTATGATGCCTACATAAAACTAATCGACAAATGTAAATTTATAGTAGTATAATAATTTAACTCACTTCTTGGAAGCAGTTCTCCATTTAATTCAGTTATTAGTTTATTATTTAATTAATCAATTAACTAATCCCTCACCTTCTCTTAAGACCTGGATTCCGTGGAGATGAGATCTGCACTTCTGTGTTGCCCACCAAGCTATGATCTTTAGAGGTTTTTGTTGCATCAATCATGTTATTACCTGAAACCACACCAGAAGGCTTGAGTGCCCTTGAGGAAGCATCCACCACTGGCAAAATGGGTAACTTTTCATTGGGAGAGATCTGAATCATGTTTGACAATATGCTGTTACAAGGCCTCTTCATATCATCCTCAAGAATCTTTTGTGCCAAACCACAGCAATTACTACTACCAGAATTGCTGATTTCTGCAGAACTTGTGCTGTTAAAGTAGGCTGCAGAGCCAGGCAAAAGAAGCTCATGAAGAAAGGGATCTCTAGTATTTGAGAATGGATCACCAAAGTTTCCACTAGGGTCTTCCAAAACAGAAGAGAAAATCATGGGATCAGAAGAGAACTGCCAGTAATGATCACGAGTCAAGGGAGCAGCAGCTTCAGATGATGAAGTTCCCGTGCTGCAACTGCCATATGATGCACCACTAGCACGAATTACATCGCTTAAATCACCTTGATAATTCTCCATAATTGTGCCAAGGATATTGCACATGCTTTTTCCTTAGTGAAAAGGCTTCAATTAGGAGAAAAGCAGTGCCATGTTATGGAACATATATTGCTTGTAGCCTCTAATTTGCAGAGTTTAAAATAAACATGCAAATCTAGGAAATTTTTGTATGTGTGTTGGGATAGCTAGGTTTGAATTTTGATTAAGAGGTTGTGTCGACTAATGAGAATGAAAACTTTCTCCTGAGGGAATGGGATTTATTCTGATTACTAGGCAAGAAAAAGAAAATGAACAGGTGTTTTGGAGGTTGAAAACTAACTGTTCCTTTCTCCAAATATACACAGAAGAGAATTGAAAAACACAGACGCTGACTTTTAACACAAAATATGGCTCCAAGCTCTCCCTTTCATACGCAACAATTTGTTAAATAATAACAAGAAAACAAAAATGGTAGGACTAACAAAATGAGTGTTGGTGTGCTGTATAACTAAAATATTTTTTGTACACGTTAGGTTATATTACACTTCTCACACGCCGATGAGAAATTAATTAATTAACGTCTATTTATTAGTTGTTAACTTGTTATAACAAACTAATGATCTATTTCTGTAAATTAATAAATTAGAAGGTAAATATATTTTTAAGTGCCTCAAGATTCCGTTAAAATTGATTTTAATCTTTATTAATATACTTTAAAAAGTAATGTTTTCCTCGTATTTCTTAAATGTGGTAGATTTTCGCTTGACTTTATACATCATTTTGACTTGTGAGCAAACAAAATGTATTGCATTAAAAAATTAATATAAAGACTAAAATCACTATTTTTAGGATGTATAAATTAAAATTATTTTTAACAAAAATATTGAGAGATCTAAAAAATATTACTTGTTGAAAAAACAAGTCGTAATCAATATAGTATTAATTAATAACTTATTTGTCATTAATTATGTCTTGAGTGTAGGAATAACACTAATTTATCCAACACTATCATCAAAGGTTAAAAATGTGTCAGTATACGTTTTGTTAATAATTGGTGTATTGATTAAGTATTCCTTTCTTTCTCTTTTATCTCTCAGTTAAAAGAAAATTACAGAATATGGTCACCCTCTCTAGAACAATTGAGGAGAAATAAAAGAGGCGACAGGTAGCCGCATTTATCGGAGATACGTTCCAACTATTCAATCCGACTCTCCTTTTTTTTTTAATTTTTTATTTGAACATATATTGCTGCCATGTTAATCTTTCTTCATTCTTGCATATAAAACAATGAGCTGCTTAATTAATTTTAATGCAAAATTTAATTTTTTTTCCTTTAATTCAAAAATAGGTTTTACGGAGAATAAGAGAGCCGTAAATGCATTGAAAAATGGCAGTTTCTTCAATTATTTGCATAAATATGTAAGATTAGCAGCATCAAGATTCAACTCAGCCTTAATGTATAAAAATAAAAAATAAAAAAACCACAATAACAACGACCAAAATTTAAAATATAAATTTGTGAAGATGAATATTTACATCTTTTCTCTATCAACATCCGTGTTTCTGATGCAATCGTTCTGGTATGTTCAATGAGATTTTAGCATACTATTTTAAGCACTTGATTTACGCATTTAAACCAACAATGCAAAACTCATAAACCGCAGAAGGTAATTGATTTAAAATATTTCATAAAAATATACATTTAGTTATTTATGTAAGAAATAAAATTATTTTTAAATAATTTTCTATTTAGAAAAGAAAAAAATATATTAAGAGAGTCCGGAAGAATGTATAAAAGGTCATTACAACAAAATTTATTATTAGCGACAATTATTTAACGGCAATAAATTAATTGTCTTTATTTTATTATTTAATAAAAATATTAATGATTAATATATAATAGTCACTAAAAATATATTTGTATCACACTAAAATTTACTATTAGCGACAATTATTTATTGTGAAAAACTTAAGTTCCACATCGACTAGAAATAAGATAAATAAAGAGTATATAAATGGATGCTAACTCTCACCTTACAAGTTTGTTTTATAAGGTTGAGTTAGACCTATAATTTACTATTCTAAAGAAATTAAAGAATATATAAGTAGAAGACAACCATCATCTTACAAGTCTCATATTGACTAAAAATAAGATAATTAAAGAATATTTGAACTCATCTTACAAGTCTCATATTAACTAGAAAGTAAAAAATGCTTCAAAAAATTATACATTTTTTTACTATTATAAGAATTTTTACCAGTATTCAAAATAATTACTATTAAATATTTTAGCGACACTGCATGTATACAATGACTATTGTGAAAATGCTAGTAAAAAATTTTGTAGCAATTTTTATTACCACTAAAAGTCATATTAAATGTCAGTAAAAGTCTATTTTGTTGTAGTGGGTGTCATATATAATTTTTCTTTTTAGTATAACAAATTATATATGATCGTAATATTAGTATCCATTTGTTTTAAAGTTTATGTAAAGACAATATTGGAGCTTCAATAATTGGCAAGAAAAATGGGTTTTGAATGGAAGGCGGGTGGGAAAAGATTAGATGTGCATTTAGAAAAGTTTATTTACAACTTATTTGAGTTTATCGTAACAAAAATATTTGTGTTAGTGCTTGGATGAATATGTTCTCAGGTTTTTTAAACTTAATTATTTCAATAAGTTCTTTAGCTAGGATATTTTATGAAATTAACTTATCATAACTTATGTGGAAAATAATTTAACTTCCATTCTCTTTGATTATAAGTACTTACATGACAAACACCTACTCAATTAAGTCTATTACCCAAAGAATTAAAAGAATTATAAGGATTAAAAGAATTGTCCACATATAATATGAACATATATAAGAAGAGAAAAAAAAAGTTATATTAATAAAATAGCAAGTAAAATATATATATATATATATAACCATTTAAAAAATTATAATAATTTAAAAATAATATATTACATAACCAAAAGCATATTTAAACTTAATTGGTCTTAACCAAAATCATATAAATCAACTTTGTAAACTTTCAACTATATATATACACACTACATCTCTATATAATCATGTATATTTTTATCTATATATAATAATACTAAATATTTGTAAATTGATATCTACTTAAAAAGTTTACTATATATACAATATTTTAAAATCAAGTTGTATGATATGAATTATTAGTTAGTTTTAGAGTGAAACTGATTTAATTGTTAATATAAAGATTTGTATGTCAAATTAATTAGAAATTAGTACAACTTTTAAATTAATTATTATAAAAATTAATAATTTTCAATTAAACAACTTCCAAGAACGAATAATATATATATAT